AAAAAAGAGCAGTGCTCTTACAAGAAAGCCTAGAGAAAGACAAGATATATTATCTTTGGGAAACAATTTGAGTCAAGACTGTACAAAACAATCCTGAACAAAAGAACCAGCTCTTGAGTGTGAACCCTTCATGTTCAATAATTATATATAATGCGATCAATGCAGCTTCAATTTCTATAATCAGAGAACTTAATATGTCCTCAGATTCACAAACTCTTGTCACGCTCTTCAACTCGGGCAAAGTGATCAAGGAGTTGAAAAGCTTCCTCTTCAACATTTGTTGTTTGTTGCGGTGCTTTTCTTCTTCTATCCGTTTTATGTATATGTTTCTCGTATGGCTAATGTGGTTGTTTTTGCTTTGGCAAAATACGCACGTTTGTCTCTTAACTCTGCTTTTGTGTAAGAATCGTTTTATGTTAATGAAACTGGTTTGTCCAAAAAAAAAAAGGTTGTTACAAAAGTTTCTCACTATTCGAAACATATTGCTAGAAATTATCACAGACGTAACAGTTTCCTACAAAAGTTTCATGGGATTTTGTAACGTTTGCTACAAACTGTTTCATAATTTTTCGAAGCAACATTTGTCACTAATATTACGTCACTTCGAAACAAATTAGCTACACGTTTAAATTTGTTATTATTTGTAACAAATCACCCACAAAATGTTACAAATTAGCTACGAATTGCGAATTTCTGTAATTAGTAGCAAATTGTATCTTTTTGAATCTAATATCTTTTTGAAACTAATATTTGCTACAAAATGATTTTGTAGCAAAAAATTAAAAAGGTGGCTATAATGTCAGGTTCTTGTAGTGCCTATAAAATGTTCAAATACGGTAACTCCTTTCAATTGGTTTATGCAAATTAATTGATTTTCAATCTCACATGTGGATTTTAATTTTTTATTGTAAATCTATATAGGTTTTCTTACGGATATGATGAGTCTTTGTATTTTTGACATGTAAATTATTCCAAATATACTAAACTCCACTGTAAATTCGTATGAACACATGATTTGAATAAATATTTATATATAAAAAAACCAATAAACTAGAATAAGTGTTGATATCAAAATCCATTAGAATACAAAATCAATAACTCCGCTT